TCATATATTCTATTGATTCTTGCCTCACAGAGACAGAAACATGAATTTTGGGGCAGAAAGTAGACATGAATATTTTCTTTTTTTGGAGTTGGAGTCTCACTCTGTCGCCCAGACTGGAGTGCAGTGGCATGCTCCCAACCACCACAGCCTCGACCTGCTGGGTTCTGGCGATCCTTCCGCCTCAGCCTTCAAAGTAGCTGGAACTACAGGTGCGCGCTACCATGCCTGACTAATTTTTGATTTATTGTAGAGGTGAGGTCTTGCCAAGTTGCCCAGGTGGGTCTCGAATCTGCGGGTTCAGACAATTCATTCACCTCAGCCTCCCCAAGCGTGGATTACAGGCTGAGCCACCGAGCCCAGCTGACATGAATATTTTCAATGCTCCTTTATTAACATTGATACAAGTATTCATCAGCACAGACAATTAAATTAACCTAGGTATTCCAAATTTGTTCCCTCTCTAAATCACGGCTTAATTTTACCAATAAGAAGGTAAGGATTTACTTCCAGGAAAAGCTAGAATATTAAACAAGTCCAGCGTAGAGCAGGCACCAAACCTAGGACCAAAAAACTAGGTAGCATATGGGATAATATTAAGAGACAGCAGCTTGACCAACAAGAAGAAAACACGAGTTCTATTTAGAGAAGGAAGAAACCTGGTAATGTCTCTGAATTCATAAACCATACAACTTGATCTTTAATGAGTTGATAGTCCTGACCCACAATTTCTATAATCCCATTTGAGGAATAATGAGAAAAGAAACATGGAACTAGGAAATGGCAAATTTCTTAAGTACTTAGTCGTAGGCCTGAGGCTAAGAACTTTATTTCATTTAATCTTCCTAAACACTATTAGAAGTATGCATCATTTCTCCCATTCACTAATGTGGGAATTGACACTGAGAGGCCTCCCACCATAAATCCCACATGATGAAACTGGGATTCAAACCTGGGCCTTATTCAAAACATTATGGTCTTTTTGTGCCAACACACCGACTTCCCCAAGTGAGATGTTAGAGGTGACTTGGTCCAGGTTTTAATGATAAAGAAAGAGGAGAAAAGAAAAATAGTTGCTGGGATATTTCTTCAAAGAAATTCTCTTGACTGTTTAGTAACTGGAGCTTTTCCATGCCTTAAAGCTGTTACAACTGATGATAATGTGTTAGAATGTGTGGGAATGTGGCACTTACTCTGAGTTGGTTTTAAGGGGAGATTTCCCTAAGGAATTTATAACATTTATGATAAAAGAATTGTTCATTTTCCAGAAAGTGAAACTAGGGGAAGACTGAGAAAAATTTGTAGTCATGAACTTGTGATAATGGGTGAGATTTTAGACAAAAGTGTGGGAACTCATTCCAAGTGTGTTTTCCTGATTTAGCTCTGGAACCCAATTGATAAACCCCTGCTTACCTATGTTACTCTGTTATCCTATGTGGTATTTGAAGCATTATAGCTGTGTAAGAATAGAAACAATGGTGGGGGGGGTCACAAATTTAAAAAGACATGAACACAATCTATTCTTAACCACTTGTATTGGTAAGAGAGTATCAATATGAATAATTAAAAGCAGTCTAAACATTTAAAACAAAATACTCCAGTCTCTTTTCCAGCCAAACAAACAAACACAAAATTCTAAAAATTGTGAAGCATTTCTGCTACACCTAAACTATTGTTCTCTTTAGTGAAACAGACCACTATTACCAGGTAAAGATCTTTTGGGAAGGAAAAGGCTTGAGACAGAAAGAGCCTCATGAAAGGTCACTTTAGGAACGGGAAGGACTCTTTAGAAATGGGTCTCTAGCAGATTGGTGCTGATGGCTCTCCTGGGAAATAGGAGGGTAGAGTAGCAAGAGAATACATCTTGAATTTAGGAGAATCATGTAACAAAGGCTGATGTTTCCAGATGTCAACTGTATTATTTTTTGAGGATAAGGCATTTTAGATAAAGCTACTGAGAGAAGGTATTTTTCAGATAAGAATTTTGGCCAAGAAGTTGACCTCCTTGTCACCTTAGGTTCTCAATCTGCACAAAAAGCTACTAAGTGGGGAATAACAAAAATATCCTGAAACTTTGTTCCTTGAAGACTAAGACATAGGTTGACTTTTCTGTCAAGCAACTCAGATACTGTTAAAGATGCTGTGCTGTGATGCAAAACAGACACTGGACTAGAAATCATAGCACTCTTGGGTTTTAGCTTCAGTTCTTTCTTGCTCAGATTACTCCTTCCTGGAATTATTAATTTAGTTATAAAATAAGAAAGTTAAAATGAATAGCAATAGTATTATGGTTTTTTCTAGCTTTTTAAGATTCAAAAACAGGATGATTTTCATTTAAGTTTTAACTAGTTTCATGGGGATGCTGGCAAACATTCTGCCACCCAGTGGTCACATTTCAGGATTTGTAATTAGGGAATCAAGGAAACCTGCCATCCCACTGACCAGCTACTCCTAGAGATGTTCAATTTGGAGGAAATGTGTTTTTATTCCAGGGTCCAGATGTCAGTAGCTGCAGCAAAGGAGAGAAGGATATGTGCTGCCTGCTTTAAGAAAGACTGAGTGTCTTCCTGGTTGTCAACTGAGAGTATTCTTGCCCCTCAGGATCTCTCTGGAGATATCTATGGGTGGCTAACTACTAACAAGTTACCAACTTCTCCAGGTAAGCCAGGAAAACTGAAAATGAATGTGGTCAGATCAGGAGAATGACTGTTGGAATACTCAGGTGAGGAAAGAAAAGTGATCTGATGAGGCACCCATGATGGATACACCTAACCCAAGGTCTCTGGTCACTCAGCAGACTGCAACTGTTAAAAAGCACAAGGAGAAGTATGGCTGAATCAGTGTTAGAGGCAAGCCTGGCCTTCAGGTTCTGGAGAAAGGCTTTCGTTCCCCTAAGTTAAGAGCTAAAGCCTGTGAAACCAGAAGGAAGACCAAAAAAGCATTTCAGCAGCCAGTGGTCTGTGTAGGGAAGACTACAGAACCTCTGTCAGTGGGGTCAAGATATCTTGGATTTCAGACACTCCAAGACCCTCATTCTAGGGACAGATAAAATAAAAATAAACCAAGCCAGGCTCAGTGGCTCAGCCTGTAATCCTGCACCTTTGGAAGGCTGAGGTGAGTGGACTGCCTGAGCCCGCAGGTTCAAGATCCGCCTGGGCAACTTGGCCAGAACTCATCTCTACAATAAATCAAAAAATTAGCTGGGCGTGGTAGTGCATGCCTGTAATTCCAGCTTCTTGGAAGGCTGAGGTTGAAGGATCCCCGGAGCCCAGCAGGTCGAGGCTGCGGTGGCCGGGAGTGGCCACTGCACTCCAGTCTGGGCGACAGAGTGAGACTCCAACTCAAAAAAAAAAAAGCCCTAAAAAAACTAAACAGGGGGAGGTAAGGTCTCTTGGAAAACAACAGAAGTCCCAATTTGAAATGGGTAGGAATGTGAAGTATATGTACTTCCAGATGCTGAGTACAAGCAAAAGGTCCCCACCTAGTGGGAGGGATTTTGCCTAAGAATACTATATTATTTGTCATACTTTTTTGTAATAATTAATTTTTTTTTTTTTTTGAGTTGGAGTCTCACTCTGTCGCCCAGACTGGAGTGCAGTGGCTGCTCCTGGCCACCGCAGCCTCGACCGGCTGAGCTCCGGTGATCCTTCCGCCTCAGCCTTCCAAGTAGCCAGAACTACAGGCGTGTGCTACCACGCCAGGCTGATTTTTTGATTTATTGTAGAGATGAGGTCTTGCTGCCCAGGCGGGTCTCGAACCTGTGGGAATTAATTTTTTAAATAAGAAATGAGGTCTTGCTATGTTGCCTAGGTTGTTCTTGAACTCCTGGGCTCCAGCAATCCTCCTGCCTCAGTCTCCCAAAGAGCTAGGATTACAAGTGTGAGCCACTGCTCCCGACCTCATCTGTTATATCGTTTTTTAGACATGAAAAATGAAATTAGGGTCAGCTATTTAGAATTTGGGAAGGTATTCTACAGGTTGATTCTCTAGCAAAGATAAAACTGATTATGATGATTTGTTAATTTGGGGCAAATTTGCTGATAATTTATAAAGGTCCCTGAAAATCTGCTTATGTTATTTATGGAAAGACTCAGTTATTTTGTATTGAGACCACATCCTAAGAGAGAAAGACTATTGGTTATCGTTTATCAAAAAAAATTTCATGTTGTTTTAAAAACTTGGAGTACAGTAGTTGTAGGTTACTTTCCTCAACTTTGTTTTCAGGAAACTCAGTCAGCCCATTCCCTTAGATATTCTGGTTTCCATTTTGAGACTCCTATTATTCTCTAGTTTTAGAAAAAAATCTTCCAAGCTGGTCCAGAAAGAAGTCCCAGGCAGCCTAGCTAAGATATAAGACTCAGCTTACTGTGCCTGCATTTTTCTTTACCTACCAATGTATATAACTCAAAAGATTAGTGAAGAGACAGGGGAGACAGTGTCAACCCAGCCCACTCAGGGATATAGCTGAGAAAAAGGAAACTGGAGGGTTCAAGAATGAGTGGTACTTGATGAAGCATGAAAGTCTAAGTTCTTGACTCACTGACATTCAACAGATTAAACAATAAAAGACAGACAAAAAACTTATAAACTCTATGATCTGGGGTGGAGAACAGTTGCCATATCTACCATTTAGCTTCCATTTTGACCATAAATTAAAGATATGAAGCTGTAATTGATGAATGAAGATAATAAAGAATTCTTTTTTTTTGAGTCAGAGTCTCAGTCTGTCGCCCAGTCTGGATGGAGTGCAGTGGCACAATCATGGCTCACCACAGCCTCAAGTGATCCTTCTGCCTCAACTCCCCAAGTAGTTGGGACTACAGGTGCATGCCACCACACCAGCTAATTTTTTGATTTTTTTTCTTTTTTTGTGGAGATGAGGCCTCGCTATGTTGCCTAGGCTGGTCTTAAACTCCTAAGCACAAGCAACCCTCCCGCCTCGGCCTCCCAAGGTGCTAGGATTACAGGTGTGAACCACTGCCCCTGTCCCAAAGAGTACATTTTTAAAAATTAGAGGTACTTCTATTAATATTTTAGTATTAACACTGAAGTTGAGAATGCAAGAATTATACATTCAGAAATAATAAAATGTCCATTAATAGCTTATATTTTTACCTGACAAAGTGACTGAGAATGAAATAGGAATAATTGGTTTGTGAAATCATGCCTCTCAAAATCATGTCTGGTAGCATGGTCTCACTTGAATGATTCATCAACAAGTGCCATCACAATGGCTGGAAATTTAAGCATCACACAATCATAAACTTTCTTCTTCAAATATGAAAAAGTGTATGGAAATTTATTGATCTTGACAAGGCTAGAAATAAGCTCTTACCTTCCCTTATAGAATAATACCCTGTACTCTAAATCAATTCAGTATAAGATTGCTTAGAAAATGAATCTGCTACCATCTTTTCTTGATGCCACCTGATATCTGGCCACTTGAATATGAACTCAGACTCCACAGTCTTAAAAGTAGCACTAAAATATCAGCTTAAAAGCTAATAACAGGAATGGGTTATTCTTTTTTAACTAGTATACCTTCCCTAGCATTGTCTGGTAAGCTCATCTTCCAATTCAAACATTACTTAACATCTTAAAAACCCTTACAGATCACATTATGCTTTACTTGAGCTCTTTCAAAGAGTAGAGGTGTTCCAAACACAAGAAAACAGAGGCGTTTACCAAAAGGAGGGGAAAAAGAGGCAGGTATTTGTCTCATTCATTTCTGCTTCTCCACTGTAACCTAGCTTTGTAGCTGGCACATGGACATTCCTCAATAAACACTGAATGAGAGATTTCAATCAGATGGCTCAGGAGTTAAGATTTTTTCTGTGTCTTCAAACTTGTCATTTTTTTTCTTAGGCTCCCATTTATGTTTGACAAGCAGATACATATCTTTTAAAAGTTATCTACCTTTTTCTTTCAGGAAGGGAATTCTCCCATTTCAACTGAGTATCTCAGTATAATTGGATAACCTCATCCCACTCGGAAATAGGCCAGATTCCATTGGGCTGAACATTGGGAGGAGAGTGTTTCCAATCCCATGTCTTTACAGGAATCTTCCACGTCTTGCCGTAGTTAGCTTCAATGTATTCGATGGTTTCACAGGGCACGTGGACCTTCATGTCTACAAACTCAGTCCAGCACAGTGTAAACTTGGGAAACAGGTATCTGCAGCAAAACAGGCAATGTGGGGAGAGGTTAGGCTTCAACAGTGTAAGGAACCCAGTTGCTAGTTCATTCTTGGCTGAAAGACAGCTCTCTTCCACTCAATAGCTTTGGGAATAGACAGAGTGGATATTTCATTGTTTTGACTGTCCAGAATCCCTTTCCTCTTCTAATGTAAACAGTACCCCAATTTTCCTGCTCTGTTCCAAGTCCATATGATTGAGGAGAGGCCGACTTTACTCCTAAGCTCCAGGGATGGGTAAAAAAACCCAGACCAGTAAGTTATAGTGGTTAATTTAGGAATGAGAACATACCCAAGTTAGGCAAATATAAGTCAGTCTTGAGATTTGTTGAAACTTATTGGGAGAAGAGATGTCAAACTAAAAAGCTGCCAAAAGATGGAGGAAAATGATCATTCCCTGCCCCCGCCCTGCAAAATTTGGATTCCCAAGGGTATAGAATAAACATGATTATAAGCTGCATTCCCAGGCTTCTCCCTTAGTTCAATATATCTTACATGATTAAACCTGTAGCATCCGTCTTTCTTTAATCTCAAATGCTAAAGAACATATTTAAACCAGCCCAGAATACTAGTTACAATGAATTTAGCTGTATTCATTGCAGAACTGTCGATTAGTAGGTAAATTTCACAAATTAAACCAAAACTTGTTTCTTTTTTTTTGAGTTGGAGTCTCACTCTGTCACTCAGATTGGAGTGCAGTGGCACGCTCCCGGCCACCACAGCCTCGACCTGCTGGGCTCCGGCGATCCTTCTGCCTCAGCCTTCCAAGTAGCTGGAACTATAGGCGCGTGCTACCATGCCCAACTGATTTTTGATTTATTGTAGAGATGAGGTCTCGTCAAGTTGCCCAGGCGGGTCTCGAACCCGTGGGCTCAGGCAATCCACTCACCTCAGCCTCCCAAAGCGCGGGATTACAGGCTGAGCCACCGAGCCTGGCTTCAAAACATGTTTCTTATAGGTACTTTGGATCAAGTAAATTAAGTTCTATGTACTACAAAGGAAAACTAACACTAGCATGTCTATTTGGTTTATTTTATGTTATAGCCCTATATTCTGTGTTGTTTTTTTCTGAGAAGTGTTTCTTCTCTTCACGTGTAAAGAACTTTCAGAAATGAGATTTGAAGTGGCAATAGCAGAGATCACAGAAATTTAAAATATCAGAAGATTAAAGAAAGAACAGGGAAAAGCCAGATTTCAATGTGTAATCATATTATAGAAATGGGATCTAACTGGTATGTTCTCCAAGAAAAGGTCAGTTCTCAATAGTTTGCTTTTGAATATCATGTTTTACCACCAAATGAACATTAAGCTCTACTTGAAAAGAAGAGGCTGAACAAATTCTAAAGAAAGCAACAAGTCCCTTCTACCCAAACCCAGTTAATGGACAATCCCAGCTGGCTTCTGTGAAAAGGAGGCCACAGCAAATCTCATAGCTGAGAAAGAAATAAGATACAGCTTAGACCCACCATCTGCTGGTCCCAATTTTACTCTGTACACTCATATTCATGGAATTGCTTATTTTGTCATCAGACATATCAATCCATCCCCAGCATCCACCCTCCCTAATCAGATGTTGATCAGCAGAATGTCCATCTGTCTCATCCTATCAAGTTGACACACCAAAGCAGAATTAAAGGCAGAAATCATGGCCTATCTAGTAACACAGGCAGGGAAACGTCTCTCTCTTAACTATTAGACTCTACACTCGCATCCACAAACTGAAAAAGAAAAAAATAACAGAACCAGGATAGACAGGTTGGGAGAAAATACTACAAATTTTACAAAAGCAATGTTTTGAACAATGTAGAATTCTTGAACAAAACCAAAACATTTAAAATATATAAACAATGTGAACATATTTTAAAGACAATTTAACTTAAATATTAATTCTTGCACCTAAACAGCAACACCTGTAAACTCTGTGGTTTTCCTTTCCCCAATTATTTTTTCAATTCATTCAGCAAAAAAGAAAATCCTATCTTCCTAGGAGAGGAGAAAAGAAAAACAAACCATAAAATGTGAAAACAAATTGTAAAACAGGATTGTGGAGAGGAAGTGAAGCAGGGGTGAACATAAAACAGTGCATGCCATGTACCCTGTTCCAGGTTACCAGTAAATAAAGACTAAGACTAAAATACATATGGGTCTGCAATGTTACCTTGGCTTTTAAAACTATGATTAAGTTCAGCCAAGCACTTTGTACTTTGAGGCTCTACAATTGAATCCAAAATGTGAACAGATTTAAACTTGGACTAAGGCAACCTCAAATAAGAATAAAAGTTTAAGAGATCTTATCACAAAAAAATCTGTCCATTTTCTATTTCATACCACTTTTATTTCATTTTACTTTTACGTAAATCAGTAGTTAGAATTAAAAGTTAGTTTGCATAGACCATTTTTCCTTTACAAACATCCTTAAAACCTATAAAACTACTCATTAGAGGTTAATAATTTAATCAGTTTAATTACAACCTATAAATACAATTGCTAAATGCAAAGGAAGTTCTTTCACCATTCTGAAGAACATTGATTTTATTATTACTACTTAGCTAGGCTCAATGTGATAGAGACTCCATCATCTCTAACTGAACCTGACCTTTTAAAATGTAAGTTTTGCATTAAACTCTAGAGTTGGAATGGCAGAAGTATTTTTATATGAATTTCCTGAAAAACAATACAAATGGCTTATTCTCACTATCAATTTTGTTTCTTCTTTTAATTCTTAATTTCTTTTTCTCATGTTATCGCAGTGCCTAATCCCTCTAGCATACTGTTTCATATAAGCAGGGCTAGCACACATTCTTATGCCTTCTTTCAGATTTTAATGGAAAGGATTCTAATGCTTTATCATTAAATATGATTGCTCACTCTAGGTTTTTGTTATAGTCCTTATTTCGGATCCCTTTTAATCCAAGTTTGCTAAGGTCTTTTTTCCATTTTTATTAATTATAACATCAAAAAATTTTTATATCATCTATTGAAGCAATCATGTCGTTTTCCCCTCCCTTTAATCTTTTAATCTGGCTGGATGCGGTGGTTCAATTCTGTAATCCCAGCACTTTGGGAGGCCAAGGCGAGAGGCTTGCCTGAGCTCAGGGGTTTGAGACCAGCATGGGCAACTTGGTGAGACCTTGTCTCCACAATAAATCAAAAAATAAGCCGGAAGTAGTGGTGTATGCCTGCAGTTCCAGCTATTTGGAAGACTGAGGCAGAAGGATTGCCTGAGCCCAACAGGCTGAGGCGGCGGTGGCCATGAGTGTGCCACTGCACTCCAGCCTGGGCAACAGAGTAAGACTCCAACTCCAAAAAAAGAAAAAGTCTTTTAATCTGGTAATGTGGATAATTACACTAATACGTACACACTAAAATATTCTATTCATTTACTATTTTTTTCTGCTGCGTAGTGAACTGAGACAATAATTTCTCTTCATAACAATTTTTGGGAATACTGTTCATGCCCAGTTTTGCTATCAGTCTCATAAAATCAGTTACTTAGTTTTCTCTTTTTCCATTTTTTGAAATACATTATATGGATATTATAGGGATAATCTATTCTGTGAAGCCATGGGAAAACTTTGCTGGAAACTTTCTAGGTCTTAGTGTCTTCTGGCAGGGAAAGAGGGAGAAAGGGGATTTTTGACTACTAATTCAATTTCTTGAATGAATATAGGTTATCTAGATCTTCTTGAGTTGATCTTGGTGTTTACATTTTTCTAAAAAATTGTATTATTTTCACATTTTGCCTAATTATCACACAGACCTAAAGTTATCTATATCATTTTATTTTGAGAGATTCTTATTTTCATATTTTCCTAATTATCATACAGACTTAAAGTTATCCATAGCATTTTCTTTTGAGAGTCAATGTAACACAGCTTAGAGCATAAAATAAGCCAGACATCCCTGGTTTGAGTCCTGAATACTGTATTTATTTTTTAATCTTTTTTTGCTTGATCAGCCTTGCAAGCTATTTTACTAGACTTTAAATTAATTTTTTAAAAGCCAGCATTTAGATTTGTTGGTCTTTGATACTGTAATTAATTTTTCTTGGCTTCCTTCACTTAGGTTGTCTCCATTGTTATTTTATTTTCTTCAGTTGAACACCTGTTTTTAAATCTATTTTTTCTATTTGATGTTTTTGGTTTTTTTTTTTGAGTTGGAGTCTCACTCTGTCACCCAGACTGGAGTGCAGTGGCACGCTCTGGCCACCACAGCCTCGACCTGCTGGGCTCCGGCGATCCTTCCGCTTCAGCCTTCCAAGTAGCTGAAACTACAGGCGCGCGCTACCACACCCGGCTAATTTTTGATTTATTGTAAAGACAAGGTCTTGCCAAGTTGCCTGGGCAGGTCTCGAACCTGCGGGCTCAGGCAATCCATTCACCTCAGCCTCCCAAAGCGCTGGGATTACAGGCTGAGCCACTGAGTCCGGCTTCTATTTGATGTTTTTAAGGCTATAAATTTATTTACCCTTTTAACTACAGTCTGCAAATTTTAATATGTAGTACATGCATCATCTTTTAGTCATATTTTATAATTTCTATCATGATTTCCTTTTTTAACTCATAAGTTATTAAGAAGGGTATTTTAAAGTTTCTACACATTTTAAAGAAGTCTTTTAATTGTCAGTTTCTAACTAATTTCACTGTGATCAGAAATGCCATCTATTGAAATAACCACAGTTGTTCCCCTTTAATCTATTAATGCAGAGGATTACACACATATAGGAATATTCTTATTATGCTTTGAAACCCATAAAAATTGTCTTTATGATCTAGTACATGATCAACATTTGTAAATGCTCTTTGATGACTGATTAAAAAAAAATTCTCCATTTGTTGGGTAAAGACTTTAAATATCAAATAGATCAAGTCTGGTCATTTACATTATATCCTCAATATCTCTACTAATTTCTTCTCTGCTTAAACCAGCAGTTTTAAAAATAAAAGCACAAAAAAATCTCTCACCACAATTGTGGACATGC